TCTAGGTCAGATCCAGCATCCGAAGCAAGTGTGGTAGTGTCCATCCCTAGATGCATCATCCATACAAGTTTGGTTCAGGTGGGGCGTATAGTTCCTTGGGAATGGACCTGCTCCAAAAACTTTAACCTGGTCACTCATCTGGAAAATCTAGGTCAGATCCAGCATCCGAAGCAAGTGTGGCAGTGTCCATTCTAGATGCATCATCCATGCAAGTTTCGTTCAGGTAGGGCTTATAGTAACTTGGGAATGGGACTTGCTCCTAAAACTTTAACCGGGACGCCGACGCTAACGCCGACACCAACGCCGGGGGTATAGCATAAGCTCATCTCGACTTCGTCGAGGTGAGCTAAAAATAGATCAGGAGTATGATCGTACTTGCTGATTGTGAGATTTCAATGAATCTGTGGAATAATATATTTCACGTAAATACTTTGTTTATTTCAAAAAATAATATGTATATTAATTGTCACGTTAAATTAATGTTAAAAGACATTGATGTTTCTTTTTTTTGACGGACTAATAAAATCGCGTGCGGACTAGGAAAAGTAATGAAGCACTAGTCCGACTGGACTAAAGCCTTAAAAAGTTAGTGTCGAACCCTGTTGGAAATGTTTATTTTAAGCATATTTATGCTAAAATATGGCTTAAAAATTATGTGTTTAACTAGTGAATCCTTTTTGATGTCGGAACATAAATACTATTTATAGAACGACCTGTAAATGTTGGAAAAACCCACATGTACATTAACAAGTGTATTAATTTCACTGTGTGTACTATCTGACAGTAATTAATTTTTCATGGTTATAAATATTTTTAAATAAAAACTTAATACTTAGTAACATACGAGTAAATTGCAATAAACATTAAATTGACAGGTATTGCATCATACCCCGTACTGTGATTTGCATCGAGTTCACCACAGGTGCGCAACATATGTGTAGGATTCTAGTGATTTGAATTGTTTTATTAAGAGATTAATAACTAATAACATTTAAAGTAAATCTTCTTAATTGTTCTAAAAAACTGGTATACCCTTAATAATTCATGCATAGTGGGAAGCATAGGGGCAATGTGTAATGCATGGCAGGAGATCGTGAATGCATGGCGGTACTGCCATGCAAAAACGGCCTGGGGAAAACACTGTACAATGCAAAAGTAAGTGTGCTCTTTTGTGAAAAAGTCATAAAATGTTCAAATCTTGCAGGACTTCTGGGACAATCTTAACAACATGTAATGTTCAATACGTTGAATGTTGATGAAAAAACGCTTAACAAACATGCAAATAAGACACTGTATTGTCGTGGACTTTACATGCATCAGAAGTACAAATGACAATGATATCAATTTATATATATATTAGAAGAAGCTGTTGACAAGTGTTGATGGTCCATCTCGAAATACAATGTACATGCCTCGGAAACATCATAATTTTTATCAAAGGATGATAAATTCTGGGCTTTCTCACTCTCACATATATCTATTAGTTCTTCTACTCTTTAATGGGAATGACAAATACATTGAACATTCTAAACTGGATTGAAATCGGCATGTTTTGTATTCTCCACTACATCATGTTGTCCCAGTCAGATGACCAAACACGCCTCTAATTTGAAGAGTTCAAGTAATGGAAATCAAAAGTATTGGTACCATATCCAGTGCCAAAAAACATAAATTTTTCCCACTTAAAGACTAAAAATCAGAATTCAAACAATTAGGAACTGAATGCAATAACGTTGTAATCCTTTTGGTATCTTAGTATTTTTTCCTAATGATTTCTTTCAAATATTTAAAATAACAGAAAAATAAATTGTTGAATATGTGTTTTCGAGGATCAACAGACTGATCAAGAGGCAATTAGGACAAAAAAATTAAAACTGACAGATTTTCACGAGGGTGGGGTAGATTTGTTTTGTTGCCTTGCATTTTTGATTGACGTTCACAATATCGTCTTGCAACAGCAGTTCTCAAAAAATCTAAACAGAGATCAAAATGGGATCATGTCTAATTAGTGTTGCAATGCAACAAATCTGGTAAATGATCAGCGATGATTTATAATGAATAAATGATACAAATACAATAACCTTTGATGTTTTAACACACACACGCTGATCACAGTTATCAAGATAGTTGTCATTGAGCTACCTGTCATATTACAGACATAATTAGGTCAGGGGCTTGGGTGAGACTTATACCGAAGCACCATGAACACACAAACATTTTTTCCATAATTCTTTAAACACTGGTTGAAAGGGGTTCCGAGATCTGGAGGGGGAATTTGAGAAAGAATATTGGGGTCATGTCCTTATCAATTTCTGGTGTTCGTTGAATGAAATGCGATTTACTTAATGAATTTATTAAATATTTATCTTTACGTCGTCATAAAAATATCAAACTAAACTACACAAAATTAATTTAATCACCTTTCGTAGTATGTCTCAAAACATAGCGGGGGTTTACATACGATATCAAACATGGCGTTCTCCACGATACCCTTCAAAGCAGGCCGTGCATTCATTATGATTACTCGACACTCAAGAAATCTACAACCTACCTGGTGCTATAGGAAACATATTGGCATTATATGTTTACAGAAAATCTGTAAATGATGCCCTCAAAGGCTTCGTTATATCGCTTTGACTTGGTATTTTTGAGCAATGATCACTTCTCTGACTAGTATCAAAGGGGGCGCCTCGATCGCAGCGCGACGCCTATATCCGGGAAGAGTTATCAGCCTTGGAACGGGCGCGAGAATATTTGACGTTCAACTAGTATTACTCAGTGGGGAATTTTTATTATAGGGACGTAGCATCGTTTCTGAAAGTGAGGGGGGGGGGGGCGCCAGAGAAAAAAAAAATCAACTTACCTAAAAAAAAAACTTGACAAGCCAAAAAAAAGTAAAATTAAAAATTGTCCGAACTCGAAAATACTATTTCGTGGGGGGGGGGGGGGGGGGGGGTTCCAACTTCTTTTTTTTATTCATACACTACTACAAAACCCTTATTTGACTATTCTACAACAAAATGTGGGGGGGGGGGCAAGTCTTTGGAAAAAAGTGGGGGGGGGGGCATGCCCGGTAGACAGACATCTCGGCCCAACGACACCTCGGCCCTTGACGTCTGACACCTCGGCCCTCATAGGTCGGCCCAAGATTATTGACACGTCGGCCCATATAAAAGACACCTCGGCCCAAGTGAAATTTTATGATGGAAAAAATTAATCCATTGTCTGAATTGTTATTATGATCGATGTAATTATTCTTTTTGACGGTTAAATAATTTTTTTAAATAAAGTCAAAGGGGGGGGGGCTATAATATTTATAGAAAATTGGTTCACTTCCCTAAGCAAATCAAATCAGCACGTTAACTAACATCTATCTCCTGTGGAAAATCCCCAATATATACACTTGAGTGAAACTATGATATATATCAACATTCTTATGATCTTGACTTTCTATAAGAATTGCCGGAATTTTATCGTTTCATTTTGCATTACTTCTCTGACGACCTGAAACATCTAAGATGGGTTGATTATTCGTGAGAAGATATATATGGACTTCATTTAAACAGTAACTTTTTTGTAAATGCGAGAATTTAACAATTGCAGCTATATATTGCAGGAAAATTGCATAAATCAGATAAACGAAGAAATTATTCTATATGGTTGCGGTTGTTAATCTTGCATTAACAAAAAAAGGAAGGGCATTTTATTGTTTATACTTATGTATAAATAATCGTATAAAATAATAGTTTAAGTACGTAAAATAATTGCACTATTGATCTGAACTTCATCGTATGTTTCATCATGTTCATTGATTGAAAATCATAGTTTGATACAGATAGCTTAAAAAAAAATATAAAAAAAAATCAGGACTCGAACTAGTTTTTAGCTCACCTGAGCCAAAGGCTCAAGTGAACTTTTCTGATCAAAATTTGTCCGTTGTCTGTCGTCGTTGTTGTTGTAAACTTTTCACATTTTCATCTTCTTCTCAAGAACCACTGGGCCAAATTCAACCAAACTTGCCACAAAGCGTCCTTGGGTAAAGGGGATTCAAGTTTGTTCAAATGAAGGGCCACGCCCTCAAGGGGAGATAATTAGGAATTAGTGAAAAAATAATGGCATCATTTAAAAATCTTCTTCTTAAGAACCACTGGGCCAGGAAAGATGAAACTTATGTGGAAACATCCTCAGGTAGTGTACATTCAGATTTGTTCAAAAATGACCCCCGGGGGTAGGGTGGGGCCACAATGGGGGATCCATGTTTTACATAGAAATATATAGGAAAATATCTTTAAAAATCTTCTTCTTAAGAACAGTAAAGGCAAGATTGGTCATATTTATATGGAAGCATCCTCATGTAGTGTAGATTTAAGTTTGTTCAAATCATGACCCCCGGGGGTAGGGTGGGGCCACAATGGGGGATCCAAGTTTTACATAGAAATATATAGGAAAATATCTTTAAAAATCTTCTTCTTAAGAACAGCAAAGCCATGATTGGTCATATTTTTATGGAAGCATCCTCAGGTAGTGTAGATTCAAGTTTGTTCAAATCATGACCCCCGGGGGTAGGGTGGGGCCACAATGGGGGATCAAAGTTTTACATAGATATATATAGAAAAATATCGTTAAAAATCTTCTTCTTAAGAACAGTAAAGCCATGATTGGTCATATTTATATGGAAGCATCCTCAGATAGTGAAGATTCAAGTTTGTTCAAATCATTACCCCGGGGATAGGTTGGGGCCACAATGGGTGATCAAAGTTTACAGAGGAATATATAGGAAAAAGTCTTTCTCTCAAGAACAGAATAGCCATGATTAGTCAAATTGATATGGAGGCATCTTTGGGTAGTGTAGAATGAAATTTGTTCAAATGAGGGCCCCCGGGGGTAGGGTGGGGCCACAATGGGGGATCAAATTTTTACAAAATATAAATGAATATATGGGAAAAAAATCTGCTGCTCAAGAACAACAAAGCCATTTGTTATATTGATATGAAAGCATCATCAGGTAGTTTAAAATTCAACACCCCCTCCCTGTAAACTTTTCAATACTGTACTGATTTTTGCTTTTTTTCCTAGCCAATGTGCTCAGGTGAGCGATGTGGCCCATGGGCCTCTTGTTAATGTAAGTGGAATTCTTCAGAAATAAATGGATGTAAATGTTCTGAATGATTGTCTCACAATTAAGCCTGCTCGTAATTATTGTCACCAATATGACACGCACTGGAGACTACCAAAGGATGCGCCGCGGCATCTTGTTTGTTTATTTGTTAGCACTTTTAAAATTATAATTAATTGTCTTTTTATTCCTTGATTATCGTCAATCATGTAGCTCGTGGAATTCTTTTTATTACTAAAAATAATCTTGATTGTTTACTTTTTTCGGTCAATTTTATTGAAGTCGAAGATTGGAAATATATAATACTTTCTAATAAAAGTTTGCTTGGGCCGAGGTGTCTTATGTATGGGCCGAGGTGTCTTAAATTTTGGGCCGATCAGTCAAGGCCGAGGTGTCATTGGGCCGAGATGTCAATGGGCCGAGGTGTCGTTGGGCCGAGGTGTCTGACATTCGCATGGCCCCCTGTCCCCCTAGCTGTTGCTACGTGCCTGCATAAAATGTTAGTTTAATGTTATATTTTTGATTTTTCAATTGTGTACTTTGTGAATGATAAAAAGTCAAAGAACCCTCGGGGTATGGAACACGGTGGTAGTTGTGGTGGTGGTGGTGGTGGGGGGGGGGGGTCGCGTCCCAAGCACCCGTGCTAGGCACTATATATCTGCAACATTAAAAAAAAAAGAGTTATGCGTATTTACTACTTTACCATAAAAATGTTGTTAAAATGCAAATTTCAGCTAAAGGTATAAATATTTTAACTAAAGGGGGGGGGGGAGGGTTAAAACTCAGTTAAATTTTTAAAGGAAGGAAAAAGTAAAACCAAATATCAGAAAAAGAACTTTTTTGGCTCCAAATAGAAATACTTTTTCCAGATGGAAATTCATATTAAATCATTTTAATGGTCCTTTCTGAATACTTAATTAAACTGGAACGACAAAACAAAAATATAGAGTAACTATTGGTGTTGAATTTTTAATTTATGCAATTTCTCAACAGAGAACATGAATTAAAATACAGGATAAATTACTTTAATTATATTTCAAATACGAAAGACTAAGCATTTGAAATGGAGATTGCATTGCTGAATATATTTCCACTGAAAATTTCTATTTTGATTATTGAAAAGTGGAGAGTAAGCATGCAGCTACATGTAGGAGGCGATATGAAAAGACGAAAAGGGGAGGGGGGGGGGGTAATTTCTCGATCGATCCTCTTGAGAAATGTTAATCATTTCATGCAATAAAGCATATAAGTTCTATATGAATTATCAACAAGCATTCATGAAACTTCTCTTTTAATTTTCTTTGTTACAATCAATTAAATCTCATTCTGTCCCTACACGCAAGTTATATTTCTATAAATTATGTCGACACGCAAGATAAATTTGTCAACGTGCAATCAACAAGCAACATATATCTATGCCTTCGGCATGGTGTGGCATAACACTCCATTGCAGGGCTTTCCTGTCACCTTATGGCAAATATTCTGGTATGTCACCCTCGAAGTCATGTGATATATGTATAATGTATCTCAATATAAATGAGTTCCCTTCCGTGTCAACATATCTATCTCGCACTTCAATATAAATAAACTGCACGTCAACATAAATAAGTTGCACTTCAACATAGATAAGTTGCACGTCAACATAAATAAGTTCCATGCTGAACATAAATAAGATGCATCTAGCATGTTGGAATCGAAGTCACATATGAGAAACATTTGCTAATAATTGAATTTCTCAATTCTTAACCGTCTGACGACACGTTCCTCAAATATCTGTTTTGTTTCTCCTTATAAAATTTAAGAAATATTCATAATATTAACATTACCTTGTGATTTCTAAACTGTTTCCAAAATGTCTTAGAAAATAAATACAACATAAATTGTGATATTGACAATTCGAGTGATTTCAAATAGGATTACATAGAAAACATCACCCTCTGGTATATTGCAAAAATGCCCGGTATGGTACCTCAATTTTTTGTGAGGAAACTTGTTAAAGTAGCAATACTTCAATGACAGTTCTTCAGAAAAATTATATATTATTGAGGAACGTGTCATCTGAACTTCACTGATTAGATCTTTTGCATGTAATACAGTAATAATAATAATAACCTTTATTTTTCCAGGATTACACAATTAGCATAAAGCTAGTTTTCATTGTGGCCCTGCATCAACACATTTACAATCATATATGGGCATATAAAATTAACATCTAAATAAAAAAAACATGACACAAGAGTACAATCACATGACAGATATATATATATATATATATATATATATATATATATATATATATATATATATATATATATATATATATATATATATATATATATATATATATATATATAGAATCATATTTGTAACAATACACTCATAAATTGGCACATTTAATGAATTGGAATTAAAGGAAATCTAGTTTATTTAAATACTGACTTTGTTAAAATACTCAGTAAGATATACAGATTTAAAAATACCAACTGAACTATGTAAACACGGAAAACACACTTGCAAACAGGGTGCAGAAATATGCCATCATACAAAATGTACATTCCTCGTAGTATGACAAATAATTAGAAACTGATTTGTAAATTTTGAAATTTTTAACCCATTCAACAATCCATAGTTAATTTACGACACGTTACCCAGTTGTTGGTAATGTCCTCTGTGACTAATAAGAACTATGATTTATCAAAGGCTACAGTTTTTCAAATAACCTTAGCCGATACAAGCCAAATATATCTATGGTTTTATTAACATTAACGATCTAATTCCCTTATCATTGATTATCAGAAGTTTCTACAATGGCGGGGATCAGTTATTATTTTGTCACTGTGGCAGCTCTTGCCTCCTCTGTACACTCCTTTCTAGCGGACAGTCCCTGTCATTTTGACACTACGGCAGTAGGGACAGCCGCATCAGGGTAACATCGACTATTTATTTATATTTATCAAAATTATCTTCTATTATTATAACAATTAAAGGGTCATAATACGTACTATACTGTTTCACTATACATTGTATCTGCGGTACTGCTCTTCTGCAGGGCAAAATGACATATTTTGGTGAAATAAGACATGAAAGCAATTGTTTAATATACGTCATTTAATTAGCTGTCATCAAAAACTTCACCAAACGTTATTTATTTGCCCTGCAATTTCTGAGTAGTACCGAATGAGATAATTATATATACTGATGACGTATGTCATCCATGTATCTCGCATTTAGAGGGCTAAGGCGGATTGAGGTTTTTTATCTCCCCGCCTCTTCCCGCGGGGTTTGCAGAGTTATTAAACTTACATGGTAATTTAAAAAATTAACAAAATAATTGTGGAAAAGCCCTTGGAAAAATTGTGCATATTGTCATCCTATACATACTGTCGTATTTTATAACCTCACTGCATTATTTGTCGTTAATCGGATCGGCACATATTGTTACCGCCTGAAAAAATAAACATGTACATTTGTCGTCGGCAAATAAATTGTCGCCAGTGTCAATATGTACATGTACCGAAGGATAGCAATACGTGTTGTATTGTCAACGGCGACAAAATCTATACCGTCACAGAGCCCTCGTAAATTGGTAAGAAACGTAGATGAAGATAAACGCTTCTCAATAAGGTGTCGAACCTGCCCCCTTCCCAGTATTTTTTTTGTGTACATTTTGACTCTTTTATGCCTAAAAAAATACGTGCAAGTATTCAACGTTGCCAACCGTCTGTTGAACAGGATAGAGCTGATTATAGGGTCTGGGAGTAGAGGGTGTATTAGGCTATAAAAGTTAAAATTATGCTGTAGAGGATTATGTGATAATTATGACAAAGTTGAATTTTGATGAGTTGAAAAAAAAAAAAAAACCAGCCCCTTATTCATGCTCTTTACAATGTCTTCCAAGTGACATCCCTTGAAGAACACTGGAATTCCATCAAAGACAACTGGAGAGACACCTGTGAAGAGATCCTAGGTACAAGAGAGAAACAAGACAAGGAAAGGTTTTCTGGTGACACATGGAAGCTGGTAGAGAAAAGCAGCAGATTATTAGCTGTGAGGATGAATAAAAGAAACATGAATTAAAAAACAGATACACTTTACTTAATAACGAAGTAAGAGAAAAGTTCAGGGAGAGGTAAGAAATCCTTTCTTTTATTACACTAGCCACAGAAGCCGAGGAAGAGGCAGAAAAAGAGACCTCAGCACCCTGTGCAGAGTCACAAGAACCCTAGCTGGGAAGAGACCGCCACAGACCCGAGACCAAGCAGTGAATGACGAGGGAACCCAATCACAAAGGAAGAAGACCAGAGAAAGCGTTAGGCGAATCACTTCAAAGAACTCCTAAACTGCCACCTTCTGCAACAACACATAACATACCATCAGCATACTCTGAACAAGGAGTGACTACCGCCCCTCCCACAAGAGCTGAGACCATTAAGGTTCTGAAGAAATCGAAGAGTTGAAAGGAAATTAGGCCTGATGGAATCCCTCCGGAAGCCCTCAAGGAAGAGTAATGATGTCAGCAGATACGATACTGCATCTCATAGGGGGAAGGTACCAGCCAATTGAAAAAAGGATATCTAGTGAAACTCCTCGAGAAGGAGACCTGGGAAAATGCAAAAACTGACTTGGCATCATGCTTGTTTCTGTCCCAAACAAATTCTGACAAGACTAATCTCGGTAAGACTTAAAGATGCCATACAAGAACGAAATTGTACGGAACAGACCGACATAAGAGAAGAAAAGTCCTTTACAGACCAGATCGCCACTCTCCGCATACTAATTGGGCAGTCGCTAGAGTGGCAGTCAACACTGTATCTCAACTTCATCAACTTTCAGAAGGCCTTTGATTAACAGAAGAGTCATCTGGAACCTCTTCCAGCACAATGGAATTTCAACCACCTTCATCAACCGCATACAATAATTGTATGATAAATCTACGTGCCAAGTCATCCACAAAGTAACCTTACAGAAACCATTAAGGTGCAGACAGGTTTAGACAAGGATATTTGCTGTCATCAGTGATCTTCCAAGTGATGGTGGACTGGACCATGTTTGTTATCCAGTGTTCGGAAGACATTGAGTTTGCTGACGACCAATGTCTTATGTCCTAGAATTTGAGCACATGCAGCTCAAAACTGACAGGCTGGCCAAGGAAGCAGCAAAAACAGGTATTCAGGTCAACAATGAAAAGTCATGCGACTCAACAACAGTCATCATACGTCATTTACTCTTGGAGAGCATACCCTGAAAGACGTAGACTTCTTTACATACTCAGGCAGTATTGTGTCATCCACTGGTGGAACAGACGAAGACATTAAAGCAAGGAATGGTTAAGCAAAAAATGCTTTCATCACCCCCAGACTTTTATGGAGAGTACTATTCATATGCAACAAGCTCCGTATCTACAACAGTAATGTGGAGTCTTTGCTCCTCTATGGATCTAAAACGTGAAAAGTCACCAACACTACCCCCAACAAACTACAAACCTTTACAAACAGATGTCTTCGCCTCAAACTGAACATCAGGTGGCCAGATATGATCACAATAAATAGCCCGTAGGAGTGGTAGTGGATTGGACACACCCTCAGAAAACCATTAGGAGACATAGCACATATATAGGATAAGGGCAAGTCTCAGATCAGAATAGAGAGGATAATAATAAATAGGAAAAGACCAAGTTTATAAATAAAAGACCCAAAGCTCACATGAGCAATACAATGGAAGCATGCATATTTATATGACTTATCATGGCTTAGTGGTTCTTGATAAGATGATTTCAAATTAATTCTTGAGAAGATAATTTCTAATCAAAGATTTTTTAAAATATATATTGTTACAGTAAAACTTTGATCCTCTATCGTGGCCCTATCCTACAGATGCACAGATGGGAAGTATATTTAGAAGAAACCCAATTTTACATTATGTCAGGGAGCTCTCACGTAAGTTTCATCCTTTCTTGAAAAGATGGTTTAGTGAACCGATGCACTCTATTTTTGATTTTCCTTAATTTTTCCCTTCGTTTACCGTACTTCAATCCTTCTACCATAGGATACTCTAAAGTTTAAATTGAAACTGATCCATTGATGGTTCTGAAGAAAAAGCCGAAAATGTGAACAGTTAACAGACGGACAAACTTCGATCAGAAAAGCCCATCTTAAGCCTAGGGTGAGCTGAAAAGATCTAGTTCCTAGGAGAAGACTGAGATACTAATATATGGGACAAGGCCAGGTAAACGGGCGAAGATCAGGGCACAGATGATAAGGCAGAAGAAAAGCCAGTTTAGCTTGAGGATTAGCCCTGGAAATAGGTGATAGGGAAAAGACACAGAGTCCGGGCTATAGAGGATAATGTTGAGGTATACAGCCTGACGGAATTCTTCCAGGTTAACGATCCTTTTTCGGTGAAATGGAAAAAGGATCGTTAACCTGGAAGAATGGGATATAAAGAAAAAAGGAATGAGGTGATAAGACTAGATGTAGAGTGCGAATGAGGACGGAACTAGATTCAGAGGGTAAGGCAGAGGGTAAAAAGTCATCAACAAAGATTATCTTACAGAAGCCTTTGTATTTGCAGAGAGGGGTTTGAGAAGACTGTTTGCTGACATCGATGATCTTTCTAGTGGAGTGGACTGGAACATGAGGTATACCAGAAGAGATGACAAGAAAGGAGACCATTGTACCTTTACCAAATGTTTCGAAGACCCTGACTTTGCCGAGAAGTCCCAGAAGAGAGTAGGGTACAGAGAAGAAAGGTTGGGATATCGAGGATAAGGTCATAAAAATAGAGACGGCTTTCATGGAGAGAATAAGACCGGGGTATAGAAGCTAAGGTTAATGTGCTAAAAAAGTGGTAGGGTGTAGATAAAGACTGGATGATAGGAGGATAAATCTGGGATACACATGATTACTCCAGAATGTAAAGGGTGACACTGTTGAAGAAGCAAGTGTCTTGAAGAAGAGGATTGAGTTGTGACGGGATGTAGAGGGTAGGCCAGATTAAAGAGGGTGGTTATTTCCCACCTAAACTTTTAGTATATTTTTAAACTTTACCTGTGGTTAATCTAGAACAGACTATAGGTTACTTACTTACTTACTTAGTCCTCTTTGTGCTTTGAGCACATAAGGCCTGCACCGATAACCTCCATCTCTGTCTGTCCGCTAACATCTGCTGTACCTTGCCCCAAGTCCATCCCTGTTCTTTCATTTCTTTTTCTACTGACCGTCGCCATGTCTCCTTTGGTCGCCTTCTGTTTCGTTTCCCTGGTGGAGTCCATCTTAAGGATACCCTCGGTATATCTGATGTTTCCATTCTCAAGACAATCCATTTCCATCGTTTCTCTTTAATCTGGTCAGATATGGCAGCTGTTTGTGTTCTTTCATACAGCTCCTCATAACTGATCTTGTTCGGCCAGAATATCTTTAGTATTCTACGGAGACATCTTGTTTGGAAGGTGTCTAGTTTTTGAGTGATGTTGTTTGTCACCTTCCAGGACTCAGATCCATATAGGAGGACTCTAATGACATTTGTTTTAAATATCTTTATTTTTGTTTTGGCTCTGATAGTTGAAGATTTCCAGATATTCCGTAGGTTGGCAAAGTGGTACGGGCTTTTATAATTCTATTTTCAACATCCAAGGTGGAATCTCCATTGGCTGTGATCTTGCTGCCAAGGTATATAAAATTGTCTACTTCTTCTATTCTGTTGTTGTTTGCTGTAACTTCCCTTTCTATCTTTGTATTTATCTTCATTAACTTTGTTTTGTTTACATTTATATTAAGTCCGATTTGTCCGCTATACTTGACCAGGTCATCAGTTTTGCTTTGGATATCCTTATATCGTTGTGCTAGTAAAGCGATATCATCTGCAAAGTTAAGATCTATAGGTTACCTGTAATTAATTTCTTTTGTTCTCTCCCTCCCATTACCTGTA